ATATAAGAATTTCGTTTTATCACATTTTTTCAGTTTCGAAATCAAACTGCCTGAATACCGTCCATTAGGTAAACAGACCCAACAACTAGGGTAAAGCTGAGACTTTGCATTTTTATTTAGTGCAACTGAAATGGGGCTTGATAAATATGGAAACGAGCTTCAGTATCTTGGCTGCATTCCGCAAAAGTCGAAATTCTCTAGCCAGGTCGTTCGATGAGATCGTAACAAATGCTCGGAACAGGGATCAATAACCATAACGTACGCTTGATCGTTAACCATAAAGCTCGCTATTAGAAATTTAAAAAAAAATATAAAAGCTTTTATAGAAGAAACTCAACCCTGCTACCCTTTCAGAAACTAGTCTCAGGCATCCCATACCCATACCCTTACCATGAAAAATGCACCGAATTTGGCATACTATAAAAAGTAGGTATTGTAGTGTCCTTGTCATTGCGCTATTCAGTATTGTATACGACTAATAACAGTTGACCAATCAGAAAAGCACCTAACCTAACTAACCTATATGACAAGTTTATTATCAATGTATCAATTGAGAGAATTACCGCTAAGATATGGTGCGAGCTTTGGCTGCATCAGTTTTGATCCTTGTCTCCAGCTAGGCGTTATCCTTTTCGATTTATGAATAGACTGGGGCTCCGAGAATAGTCATATTCTCATTACCCGTTTTATAATACTTTTCTATGACATAGATAAGGTGAACGCAGTAAAGGGCGGTAAACAAGAATCGTCGTTTAAGTAGCTGCATGTTCTCTTTCATGTTTTCCTTCCATTATTCTATCCTACATTTTATGTATGTTTTTTGACAAGTGATATATGTCGAATTATGATGTAGCAATAGTACTGCCTATAATTCAATTGCTAGCTAGTAGGTAAATCGCGGGTTTTATTTACTGATTGCGTTATTTTGTTTTCTGATTTAATGGGTCGCCTGTTGTATACCGTTCTTTCTTTGCTCTTCACTTGCGTGTTGGTACTCTTGTCCAGGCTACGAAATGTTGCCTTTACTTCGAGGAGAATACTGTATAGTAAAAAAACTGTCTTTATCGTCATTAACTATTGTTATCTCATTAAAAGTGAGGTAACCCAGTCTAGGGTTGATGGATTATACTGGGAGCCTATAGCTGAAAGTGGCTCGTTAAGTTTAAAAATAGCCTCTTCGAACCACAGAATGCAAGTCATTCGACTTTTTACATCTGTCGAGAAACGCCATCGTCCATTTTGGGGTAGGATAATTTTTAAATTAGCCTATGCATCTTCGCCGTCGAATTTTTATCATGGCTAAATAAAAATCCTATATCACACCATTAGATTGTGAAGAGAAACACATGGGATAAATTTGGAAGCAAAGCAAGCGTCCAGAACGCTATTCTTCGTCAGCCAACATACCTATCTTCGATGCCCGAAACAAAGGCAGTGTGCTGTGATCCAAACCAAAACCTGAAAGCAGCCTTGCGGGTATGAGAGGCCTTTCCAACGCTACATAACACTTGGCTAAAATAAAAAGAAAGTCAATAAAAGTCGCGAATATTTTCTGAACAACTAAAGTATATTCACATGTATGTCCGTTTCTGCTAGAGGCCTATATGGGGAAACACGGCATCAGGTCAAGAGATGAGTAAATGCAACATTTCCATATGGTCCACATTAAAAGGCTACATCCATATTCTAGTGTCGTCTCTGTCAGCCATTGCGCAACCGTGTACGACGCATCATCAACCAGAGCGGGAATATGCTGTAGCTGCGGTCACAACCTATCCTATGGCCAACACAACTAGGTCACCCGCGTATTCGACAATAAATTAAATCGCTTTAAAAGCCATGATAGCATAAAGAAAACAGCGGTCTTTCCTACAAGCGTGAGTTACGAAACTCAGAACAATATCCACGGAGCACTCTTGCGCAGCTTTAGGATTGTATTATAACGTATTTTCTGCTCTATTTTATACTTTTGGAGATCTAACGTTTGTACGCTTGCAGATAATATATCAGATAAAATCCACCTATAACAATTATATATATATATATATATATATATACATTCTGTAATGATTTTGAGAGCACGTTATATACATATCATGCAACCTAAAAACTGTTGTAAAAAGTATTGATTTAATTGCCTTCGTTTTAATCAAAGAATAGGATTAGGGGAAAAGATTAGGTTCATTAATTTTAAATGAAACAAGTTTTATCTAAAGCTTACTTGTTGCTTCTTTACCTAAAACTTCAATATTACCTTTACCTTGTTTTTAGTTTGACCACGCAGAAATTCTATGTTTATTCGACGAAATTTTGAATTTTTATCACAAAACTATGACATGCACAGATAATCCACAGCGAAAATGTACGTTGTGTAAAAAATTGACTTTAACCTAAAAACTGACATGTGATACATGCTACACGGGACGACGGATTGTATAGGTATAAAAACTTTGAAAACTGTATAATTATGCAGCTGTATTATTAAACCTTAAAACTGTATAAATATACATCTTTATTAGTTGGATATTCATTTTTGTAACGAACGTTTTTGTAAGCAGATATAGGAGATCTTATCCATTCCAGATTACAAAATATTTCGAAGCTAAGAAAAATTTAGCTAGACAAGAGTAAATAATATTTAGGCTATTCGCCCTCGAGGCAACTACACTCTATGTGGTAGTACAATGGATAGATTTCTCTAATATTTCTTGCCATTTTCTCACAATATATGGGACACGATAACGACGCGCATCTATCTGTTTGCAAAGAGGAACAAAGAAGCCGTACGAAAGAAAAAGTGTCACAAAATAAAGGGCTAACGTGAAATGAAAAACTCTTAGCTAATGCTTAAGAAAGTGCTTAGGCTCGCCGGACACAGCCTGTCTACTAGGACCGTATGCAACCAATTAATACATAATGTCAGTATTATTATTATTTCAATTATTATGATGAAGGGCTATGTACGAACTATAAACTCTGGCCTTCCATTGAATAATAAGTTTAAACAGTTTCTTAAAGTGAAAGATTGTATTGGATAAAACCTCATTTTGAATTTATCACATTTGATTTTTATATTTAGCAAGATATACTCCAATAGTTTCCGCTATGAGGGAACGGCCAGGACGATTTGCACAAGCGAAGAAGGAAATTAACAATGCTCTTGTATTTGGTACAGCCTAAACCTTAATCAGGGAATAATAAAATAGCAAAGCTTGCTTACTTAATATGGATAAATTAGGCTTTACATCTCGATAAAATATAATATTATTTTATTAATGAAAGCTACGTTAAACCTTTTCAGCTCAAGCTTGTTTTAGTAATCTGTTGTGCTACCTGCTTCTGCTGGTGTGTCAAATTGAAGAACAGCCTTCTCCGGGTATAATAGAACGTGTTTGATTTTTTTTTTAAATTTTAAAGCTAAAAAATCTACCGTATTTAACCACAGATAATTTTTAATTAAGTTTCTATTACCAGTAAGATTTAATTAATCCAATGGAAGTGCGAAAACGAAAGCATAGGCTAAAGTAAATGTTAGTGACGTTTAAATACATTTCGACATTTAGCTATAAAGTAATGCTAACATTCTTATTAAAGAAATGCTAATTCCGGGAGGTTTGTCACCCCTTGAACAACTCTGATTCCCTATTTAGACCTATGTTTTTAGATATCAGCTTCTGTGCGTAGTTACATACCACATACTACTGATTCCTCCGATAGCAGGATCCCATTGGATAGACTCGCAAGGTGCGTTCAGTAGATAACTTCCATTTGTGAGCATCAGTCCTCAGCTAACATACACGCTCGCATCACTCTTGCCTTGAGGTGGTCAAGATTATGGCACCAAACGTGTTTAAATACGAATCGTTCAATCACGAAGGGACGCTGAGAAACGTAATCCTTCGCTTCTCACACTATGTAGGAGCACGGTTAATTACCTTTGCTCGGGCAGCAACTACTCGATAAGTTTGAACTATTGCACATATAAATTATTAGCGTTGTACTGTGCCCGAAAGGAAATGTAAAAGGCTATAAAGGCGTCCGCCACATCAGTCCAAAAGACCCTCATTCTCATCTCTATCTATAGGAATGTAAATTTTTGGTAAAATTTAAGTGGACTTTAAGTCAATTTAAGTAAACCGTCCAGTAAATAATAGTAGTTTATTATGACAAAAAATCACACATAATGTAGTCATTAATGAATAGATGTGTAAGGTTATTGCATACGTTACACAGCCATGCGGGTTTCTCGGCCTTTACTTGTAGTGAGATCAGGACGCTGCATGTTAGTCCCACTTGTTTCGGTTGCCTATTTGCCAGTGTACGAATACTATTTCGTTTTCAATTCTATTCCTGTATATTGACCGTTATATTGTATTGGCTGAGCTTTGTTCAGCCAAATGTTTGAAATTATTTGTTGTGAAATGAGATACCATTGATTGCTGCTCGTATCGCCTATACAAAATTTAATTCGCTGCTTTCTTGTATAAATTAAGTTTACCTTTATATAGAAAATCGTATAGTTGTATGAAAGACTTGATTCTAGTCCATGAACCGAAAGGACTGGCTTATAGCTCCGCCATTCTGGGTTGGTGCCCACTTTGACATGCCACCGACCGTTCCACAAAGAAAAAACCTCACTTTCTTTTTTCAAGTGTGTATACAAGGTAGCGGCCTTTCAAAACGGCTAGCACGTAAAAGATAAAACGTGTGGAAACATGAAAACACCATCAATCATCATTGACTATTTTTCAAGTCGTGTCTGTTTATCTCTAATTTTTGTATTGTCCCTTTCATTTGAAGTATATTAGCTACATATGCCTGTTAACCTAAATGTAGGCGCCCGAAGGACAGGCTTTGAATGTTTTTGGCTTTACGCCCGCTATCGCCATTAGGTATTAGGTTAGATGGCTCGGCTGGATCCCAGCGTGCAGCGAAGTAGCGGATGAGCAATACAACAGAGCTGTAACTCCTTTGCTTGCAGACTGGCCAGTCTGGCATCTTGAGTTCAGATCTGTCTTCGATGGATAGCCTAAAATCTGTTCATAGCTGACGAAATTAGACGACAGCCATAAGGGCGTAAACACTAAAAGAATTCCTCGTTCAGACGGGATAAAACATTAAAATAAATGGAATTATAAATCACCACAGCCTGAGGTAACTTATGACTTATGGCTGATGTCTAAGTTCTACACGTACCGTCAACTACTAAAACAATCCTCTGATACGCGGAAGCGGAGCTCATAGCCCATAGACCAAATCAAGTAACAGTTGCAACAAGAAAATCGAGCTTATGTTGCTATGAGATACTCTAGTTGCCTGTGCCCATGGTTAGGCGGAAACAATAACAGTATATGCAGAGACGCCTACGCCCTAACTGCATTACTGAACAACACCAACTCATCACAGATAAAACTTGACGAACAATTTGAACATATCCACCGTCGGGAAATAGAGCAGTCTGCTTTTATCCTGTCAATAGCTCTCATACATCGCCTGCAGGGTATAAATAACTTGTTTGAATTCCATTCTCTGACTCGTAATAGCTGTTTTCTTTTTCTTAAACAGAGAAGTTATTCGAGCACATATAAAATGGTCTTTTGCGGTTTGTATAGCGTAGAGCTATACAAGTATCTCTGTCCATTCACAAAAATTACACAATTACATACAAGCATGATTTAATCCACCGCCGATTGGCATAGTAAACGGTAAATTAGTATCAGAAAACTCACTATTTAGCTTCATTAGAACAAAACATTCCAATACGACATTTTGAGTAACTGGCCCCGATAGACTGCTGATCTTCATGCATGACAGATTGCGTTAGATAAAATCACTTAACATCTACGAAAATTTGTTGCAATTAAACAGTTCTATGAGATTGTGGAAACTTGTGCACAGTGCAGAGAACGGTGCAGAGAACCCCTTTGGATGAGAAGGTTGCCCGTGAGGCTCATGCTCAAGGTTGTGACCTGATTCACTTTGTTAAAGCATACATCCTATATAATTAATAAGTCATCAGGGCAGCTGAATTCCCTAAAACGGAAGGTAAGTGCCAAAGAGAATTTCGACGGAAGATAAAATTCATAAAAAAAACTCTAAACAAAGACGCTTCTCTTTATGACAAATTATATTAGATAACATCTAGAAGGTAACACAAAGTACCACAAACCTTATCAATCGAATTAAATCGACATTCACGAACTGTATAATATTCGCTGCTTTTTTTTTCAAGCTAACAAATAATGTCTTAGGCAGAAGAGTGAAGTATTCCACAGGCGTCATGAAAGCAACGAATTTATAGCCTACTCCATATCCAATGCATTCGTTTAGAGAGAAATGGCGTACAAAGGCTAGGAAACCCGACTCAGTTTAGTATACTGATATTGTCAATGAGCTGTAATCTAAGTATCAGTTTACAGTACTGATCCTTATATTATAGGCCGCTTGTAGCTTTTGATGGCCTTGTTGGATCTATGTAGTCCTTAGATTAATGATATGCATTCCATTCAGCGTTATGTTAACTCCATCCAATCTGATGAAGGACATGGCTTACTCTAACATGAATTATCAAAACTTCACATAAAGAAAAATAAGCTGTTGCAATAAATCAATTTAGAAAAAAAAAGTATTAGCGTTTTTTTTTTCCTAGATTTGATTGATGTGGTTGTGTGTGCGTGTATGTGTATGCATAGCCAGGGGCTGAACGTTTGGTTGAAAGAAACGACCAGGAGTAGTTGTTTTAGGTCCCGCCAGTAATACATACTCCTTCATTCGTGTGAATAAAGAAAGTTTTGTTGGCCATGCGCACGGACAGTATTTATTTGTCGTGACCGTTTTGGTATATAGCTGGACTTCTTGCATTAGTGGAAATACACCAATATGTTAGAATGATCACTCTTGGATCTTCCCTAGTTCGGAGTTCCTCGTCGGGGTTCATTTGTTGGGGGAGGGGGGAGGGGTGCCTCAAATCATTCAACCAAAGTTCCCGTAAATTAACGCCGAATCTGGCCGATATACCAATTCATCACGATGCTCTGCTTTTGTCATTGAGGAACAGGATCGATAACGAGCTGAGGATCCCAACAGTCGCATTCCGAAAGACAACAATCGGGAAAAACTCCTTGGGGATTCTTCGCTACGGGTTTGCATTCCGGATCACAGCTGATCGCCCAGCACCTAAGAAACAAAAAACCGCATCATAGTTCTAAATTAAGCACTAATTCACCACGCTAAATAATCATCAGGAACACCCTCTAAACATTCTGCCAAAGTATCTCTTAAAACCCTTTCTACCACTTAACGACCCTTTCTAAATAGCTTTCACTTGCGCAATGGTGGGACACGAGACTCGCAACGGAGAAGTATCGGGTTTGGTACCGAATTAAAACTCGATAAGTCTTTACACTATTTGAGCCCAGCATATCAGGTCATTGGGAGCTTATGATGGTTGTAGTGGCTACCATGGTAGTTTTTGTCCTTAATGTCTGTTTTTAGCGAGAGTTTTTATTTGTTGTTGCATAGGAAATATAGTGAAGCACATAGCAGGGTTTACTTGTAAATTTGGCTAAAATACATACATACCTATTTTTAGCATGATTATTTTTCATATACTGCATATCTATGTCTACTAATGTTTATTAATAAAATGTATTAATTTAATTGTTTCAACATATAAGTGATACGCGTTATGCTTTTTTGTATAATTTTCGTTGCACTATAGATGCATTTGGAAAATTAAGAGGATATGAGTGCTTCGGACCGACTTTTAAACCGGATCACCGTTGCCATGTAAGTTTTCACCGTTATTTAGGATTGTATTCACACGCCAACCTGATGGTAGCAATCTTAAAGATTTCTTTGATATAATCAATTGCCCTTTAAGGTTAATAGGGACAGAGTCAAGTATGTTGTACACCTGGCCTCAAAGTAACTACCTTCTACTATTTGATTAAAGGCCAGACTAACGGACAGTCTTTTAAATAATGATAAATTATATATTTCCAGTCATAATCTATGACACAACTTAGACCCAGTTAATTAGATCATCAAATAGTCAATCCTTTCATTCTATTGCAAATATCATAACGATATTCGTTCCGATATTGCTGCTATATCTTACGGAGTGTCACTTACGCCTCTCCGATGAATTCTTCTGTTTTCAGATTGCACTGTATCCTCGCGCATAGTGGTGTTCCCATAGACAGAGATTCGGCATCATTTAAAAGTTTTGTCGTATTGGCCTGAGCCGTCACGTTGCATTTGCCTGAGAACAGATTCAGTGCATCGATTTTTTATCCTTGGTCATGAACTAAGCGCATGTCATGCTAAAAAAAGCTATCAAAGCCATCTAGGAAACGGTGGCCGAACAACAGGTATAGGAAACGTACTAAGGAAACAATATAGGCGTTCATTAGGTTAGTAACCTGTATAGTCATACGTTATAGTAGCGTACAACTTTAGCATTAAAAAAGAGGCCTTAGTAAAATAATATGTCCATGTTATAACCATGCAATTTCTCCCGACTCTTGAAGTCGAATAGTACTTAAGGTAGTATTTAGAGTGGCACAAGCCCAGAGACAGCGCGACGCGCCAATTTAGTGGGTACCAGTGCAGCTGAAAAACAGCATAGACTTAGAACTGAGGCTTTGTCTCCAGTTTTACGCTCGGCCTTTTTTTTTCGCCAATTAAGAAGAAGATAAAAAATAAACAGTGGGCTGCGTTTGTAACATAAAATGAATTAACCTAAACTTCTGACTGCGGTGCACTAAATGTATCTCTTGCTAAACGCGCATAAAGCCTTCGTCAGCTGTTGGCGTTCGATCTTTCGGGATAACTATTAGCCGCAGTAAATTAATTCGTTTCCAAACCAGTTTATTTCTCTACGAGTAATTTTTTTTTGTATAAATTTTTGGCTACCTCTCACTATGCCCACATCCGTATTTTTCTTTTTGATGGAATTCTTTTGCTGCATACATATCTGTTCGAGATACAGAATGTATACGTTCGTTATTTGTATTAGATTTGTATCAAATTTGTGCAGTAAGTAGAAAATTATAAGAAACTGCCAACGATCTATTTCACGTCACTAAACTAACATAAAATCAACTATAATTGATTAATATACTATTTCCATGGAGGATTTACATGATTACTCATACACTTACTATTGCGCTACTACGCTTGTTTAGTAAACGCGATTGAAGGGAAAATTAAACATCAACGAATGTCTGCCTTGTATTTCACGTAAGCATACTCAATATGCACTGTGCAAACGCAGAGCAGCTATATGGGACCTGAACGCAACGCCAGGGGGGCACAGTGTAGATTTAACACACGGCCCCAAGCCTGAATTCAATAAGAACAAATTCGTGGCCTACCCTGTAAAAGGCTAGGTTGGCAGTCTTTGATGACAGGCATTAAATAGATCTGGTACATCCCACATGATCCTGTTGCTGCACTCAGACATATATAACTGGCACAAGTTCAAATTCGTTTTATAGAAGACATTTTGAATCTACTTGTTCTTTACCGTGGACATTGCTGATTTCTGTTAATGAAGGAAAATCAAAAAGTTTCTTCTTATTAATTTGTATAGAAGAACCGGCCGATATTTGCGACGATATTTTAGCTAGAACATTTCTTAATCGCAGCCATTTGCACATACCATCGACGATAGAAATCCTGCCTCGGAACATCGACGCGTCGATGGGCCACCAGAGGAGCCCGACCATCGCGCACAATACTAATGGAGTGAGGACGCTCGTAGCGTGCTGCATCCCTCGTACGTGTAGTCAGCCACACACACAAAAACGTGGACTCGATTGGACGCTCGATCAGGATGAAGACTGCCCTGGGTGCTGCTGTTAATCAAGTGGCGCTGTTGCGCAACGCCAGCCAACAATCCTCGTTGGTACGCAATATCCGACGCCGCCGTGTTTGGCACTGAGAGAAATACACGTTAGCCGACCAAAGGAACGTCAAGACTCCCCGATACCCTCGACAATTCAGGACTGGATAAAGCATGCGGCTCGCCAGGCGAGGATGTCATCGAGTGAAGAGTACCCGCCATGCTCAGCCAAGGACTATCTGGTCTGTTTGGAAAGTTATGTTTGGAAACTACATACTGTTAAAAACCTTACTTTATTCTTCTCGAAAGCTCATTCTTCGTTGTTTGTGTGATATTTGATGACAATGAAATGACACTGGCGTGCAAACCTTTTCCTCATTTCCTTCACTCCGGATTCATATTGACAACAAAACATAATAACTCTGTAGCCTTGTTCTAGTTACCCTAATTGAACCCAAAACTAAACAAACACAACTACCGTAAGTGTACTGTCAAACATATTCCATGTTTTCAACCTTATAATTGTTATCAAAGCGCTGGTTCAGTTCTGAATAGCTACCTTTTTGGTTGGATCCACGAACGTTGCCTTTTACTATCCATGTGTTTTCTATGGGACTAAATAATCTTAATGGAAGGGTCTCAAGCGGAAGCGCACATCAATCACATTGTAATCTAGCTTTTCTTGCCTAGCCAACGATTGACGTAGACGCCAGGGTATCTGCTGGGAGCGGAACTGGGTTGAATATTCTTGATGCTATTTTCCAATGAAGCCAACAGTGTTTGATAGGTTGCATGTAAACAAGTCCCTGCATGCTTTATTGATTAATTAGCCTTCTGGCAGCCAATGTGTGCCAACAGTAGTAATGTATTTAAAGAATGACTAATTCCCGTATCTCGTTTAGGGTCATTAGTGTAATATCAGTAAGTCTTTTAATAAATACTAAATCAATAGAACGAAGCCCCTTCCGCATGCTCTATATAGTATCTGTTCCGCATGCTCTATATAGTTCCTTATCTGAAGTACTGAGTTGCAGCACAAACAAATTCTACTATGAGCACGCGAATTGGCGTTATGCCAAGCCATCCTGTGTCTCCTTTAGTTGAACGATGTTAGGATAATCGCGCCCTAAAGGCAACCCCAATGGCTTAGGTAGGCATGGTTCTGAAACGTCTATGCTTTGAGATTGCCGTGACGCCACTTGCACAACTTCATCCCAACAACAGGAGGTTTACTTTACTTTCTCTATCTGTACTGCCTGAAGCTTTTTTGACCCATGTCGCCAAACTCGTAACGCTTCAGATGTCATTGCGCCACTATTTTCGATTAGGTACAAGATCGACAAATAGAATGTTGGTTTATGTTCGTGTGAAATTATTTATCTTATTTGCTTTATTATTATAGCGTCACCTTCTAGGCTACCAAGTACTTCCTTCTATTGCCCACATGCCTCAATAGCGGTCGGGTCGGCGGTTTATCCACAAAAGCCCTGCGTTTAAGCTTTTGAGAATAGTCATTCATTAACGCGCTTTATGCTACAAGATGTGACCGCAATTCCCATGCTGACTATAAGCATGTTGAAACACTCGATCGTCAAGCCTACATATTTAACTTCACTTTATATTAAAATAATGATCATAATAATTTCTATTTATTACTATTCTGCAATTTTTCGGTTACAACAAATTTGCATGGACTGCGCATTAGCGGTCTAGTAGGGTTCCTTGGTGATAGGGTAACTCTGAAATAACATTTATGATAGCAAAAAACGATTGCTAAAAAGCGACGCATCATGGAACTGTTCGCATAAAATCTGACTCAAATGAAATGAGTCAATAAGCCTGATGAGTTGAATCCGTACAGCCTGGAACTATTCAATTTTTGACAAAAAGTTAATGTTCTACCATATTTCTGGTCTGAAGTGGTAATGGCCAAAAATAGAAGTGCTGTCTGTTGGAGGAATAACAGAAACATTTCTATCCTGCTTGCATCGATAGCCATATCACAACTTAGCTGCTTTCTGAATAAATTTTGTTCCGTCCTTTACATCAAACAAACAGCGGTAACGAAGCCCATAGCCTCGCTTCTCACAATACTCCTTCACCGGCGGTTTAACACGTCAGTCCTTAATAAAGCTTTAGTTTCCTCCATAACGCGCACTCGGTCAACCGACAGCTCAAGGCCAAGGAAGACCGGGGGATTGGAATAATACCCTCACCTTCGACCCTCCTCTCCTACAAGCGCGGAGTCATGGAAACCGCTAGCGGGCATCCCGCTCCTGACAAGGGGTGACTCCGGTGGCTAAGTCCTGCTTATTCTAATAGTCTACGGAAGTTTTGCCATTGGGTTGTATTGTAGTTCGACATGAGTTCGCTGGTTCGCTTCACGAAGTGCTAGCAGACGAAGGGGCCACACACTTCAAATAACGACACGACCTCAGACAGCCTCGAATAGGAATACAGTACGCCACACAGCTGACTCACACCGCGGCCGCCGCGACCGTCGTACCTTTCGACAGCTCTGGTTATTCAACGAAACTGTGGTACTGCAAAATGCGAATGTTGGTGGCCTCTTCTCTAGTAAGCAAGGCTTGAACGGTATGCACAGCTGTCAATCAAGTACAAATGGCTCTTACTTGCAACACGTGGATGTTTGTTTTGACAACCAGTTGACTGACCTTCTGCCAACCGTACGCCATACCATACACCGGTCGGTACACAAAACGTCAAGGTGGGCCGGTATGGGTCACATTGCCACACATATCCAACTGGCAGCAGCTTACTATACTCAGAATTTCGCAATAGAACAAGGAGATTCGCTTTAAGGTGGTACACATCGGAGCCGCTATTTGTCGCTTTTAAAGAAAATCAGTGTCTACTACTGTATCACGCGGCGTTGTGTTGATCGCTGCTGGCAGAATGAGCGCAAAGTCGGGAAAGTCGGAGAGCGTCAAAGTGATCGTTAGATGTCGATTAATGAGTGACAAAGAGAAGGAGTCGCATCATCGACGTGTCGTGACAATCCACCCTGAACGGAATTCTATCGAGTTGACAAAAGCTGACGAAGAGCCAAAGCAGTTTACATTTGATGCCGTGTACGACGAGCATGCGACCCAAAAACAGCTATACAATGAAACATTTAGCCCACTGGTTGACTCTGTTCTCGAAGGCTTTAATGGAACCATATTCGCATATGGACAGACAGGTACAGGCAAAACATACACGATGGAAGGTATTCGCACTGATCCGGAAAGGCGAGGTGTCATACCAAATTCGTTCCAGCACATCTTTGACCATATACGAAAGTCACGCAATAAACAGTACCTCGTACGTGCCTCTTATCTGGAAATCTATCAGGAAGAGATCAGAGATTTAATTGCGAAGGATCAAAGTACAAAACTCGAACTTAAGGAGCGTCCAGACACCGGTGTCCATGTCAAAGATCTTAGTTCGTTCGTATGCAAATCGGTTCAAGAAATCGAACGAGTTATGACAGTCGGCAATCAGAACCGTGCTGTGGGTAGAACCAATATGAATTTACACAGCTCTCGATCGCATGCCATCTTCATCATTACAGTGGAGCATAGTGACATCGAAGAACACACTGAGTCTGCAGCGACGATTCGTGTAGGCAAGCTGAACCTCGTCGACCTAGCAGGATCAGAACGACAAAGCAAAACGAACGCGCAGGGTACCATGCAGAAGGAGGCGATCAAGATTAACCTTAGTCTATCGGCATTGGGTAATGTTATCTCAAGTCTTGTTGACGGCAAGTCGACCCACGTGCCATATCGAGACTCGAAACTTACACGACTGCTGGAAGATTCGCTGGGAGGAAATGCCAAGACGATAATGATCGCAAACATTGGTCCTTCGCACTGGAATTATGAGGAAACTTTAACTACTTTACGATATGCTAGTCGAGCCAAGAATATTAAGAACAAGCCCAAGGTGAATGAGGACCCGAAGGACGCGCTGCTCCGTGAGTTTCAACTGGAGATTGCTAGATTGAAAATGCAACTAGAGGAAAAGGGCAAACGAAAGGGAAAGTCAAAAAGCGCAGTGAGTCGCTCGTCCATCAATTCGGACAGCTCTGCGGATGGGGGCGGTCTAATGAGTCCTGACGTCGCCGATGTCGAATATACGGAAAAACTAGCTGCAAAAGTTGCTGCCCTCGAAAGTAAACTTCTTGGGGGAAAAGATATTATTGAGCATACGAATGAGCAGGAGCGTGCGCTTGAATTGAAGCGAAAAGAAATTGCAGAACAGAAACGCATCGAGCGGGAGATAGTGAAAAAACTGGAGTTGCATGAAGAAAGTGCCTCCGAAATTCGGGAGGGTTACACGAGCCTACAGCAGGAGGTCGATGCTAAGACAAAAAAGTTGCGTAAACTTTACGGAAAACTGCAAGCAGCGAAAATCGACATTAAAGATCTCACCGAAGAGAATAATCGTGAACGAAGAGAGCTCGAGGCAACACAGCATGAGCTAACTAAAGAGCTAAAACTGAAATATATGATTATTGAAAATTTTATACCTGTCCAAGAAAAGGCGAAGATACTATCACGCATTGTGTACGACGACGAGACAGAAAGTTGGGATCTGCTGCCATATTCAATGGTGCTCAACAATGAGCTCGGTACTTCGGCAGTGCATCCATTAGCAGATAGCCACAATCCGAAACGCTTGGTACACGATATGGCCCATAAGCGATATAAGGTCGCTGACGCAAGCCAGGTTAGTCTCGGCCTGGAGTTCGTGGATCTTCGTGTTCGCGAATATCACCCGCCCAAAGTGTCACCCACCCTTCAGACTCTTCTCGACGACGTCATGAAGCCTTTACCCGATCTGGAAGTTGACGCAGGTCTACCACAGTACAAGCTGGTTCACATGCCCTCAAGCAAGTCCAAAGGCCGTCGCTCACCCAAATCACCTTCCGCATCATCAAGAAGTTATTACAAGTGATTTTTAGAGTCGAACATTTTGGACTTGGTACAGTTTACTCTGTCTATGTGAATCATACAAAACTGGAACGAGCAGGCAACGGGCCTGCGTCAATGTACTATTCTAATTTTTGTCATCAATTAGGATAACGATAGATATATATCATCACTTCCATAATTGCCTTCAAGACTATAGGACCAAAAAGTTGCCTTTGTCCGAATGTTGAGCAAAAATCACAATGGTGACATAACACAAATTACAAAACGTATAGCGTTAATGCAAATAATTGTCCAAAACAAATATAGTTCTTGCTTATACTATATTTTGCCATGTGCCTACGAAGAGAAAATAAATCAAGTCATAGACTTTAACAAATGACATCAGTGTGCTTCACTATTGTCGAATACAGTTGTTTGTCATAAAAATCTCAATAATTGCCTAGGTTATGAATATGATTAATAAAAATATCCAGTACAGTTTCTCCGGAGATCGCGTAGCACTCATATGGTTGTCTATCTGTTCGCTCTACTGAGTTCGAGTTTACGAGTGGCCCATGAATCTTTACGGTTTAGCTCTTCTTATTTCTAGGAAACCTAGAGCAATTTCTTGCAGTCATTGCGCTTAAATATCGAAACCAACAACTTAGAACTTAGAGAAAATGTGTTTTACCACTGACTTGAACCAGCAGACTCCGGCTTAGCAGCTTTGTTGTTCTGTGTTTTGTTGACGTTTCATTCATCAAGGTTCTATGATGAATTTATCTTTAAGTGATGTAGCACTGGTATAGAGCTGACCTGCATTCATATGGACGCGGTGTGCGTTTTTAAAACTATAGAAGCACTGAATGGTCTACGGCATAATATTTACATGAATTGATCTAGCTGCTCGTAATAAAGTTCAGAGAGTTCTATTACATTCATTCCTATTGTTAGTCTATTTCCGTGAATGTAGTTTGATTAGCGTGCCATCACCAGCCCGTTTTTGTCCTTCTTTCTGCATTTCTCCTATATTCTGCCAGTGCACGCTTTTATAAATGCAAGGAGAAGATGAAACCTAGATTGCCCAAGCTTATGTAATAGCAGCAGGGTAAAACTAGTATGAAAATTAATTTTACCATCTACTAAATATAACAACAATGAGTTCATGCTGTATTGAAGCTTTCGTAAGTACAAGCTTGTGAAGATAGCGTATGTGAAATAATTGAGTGATCCCAATTGAGCGACTGACTACCCAGTGTATAGCTATGTTTGTGCTAGCTTACTATAGACGGTGGCGGCGCATAATGCTCAATAAATTCTGAAAATTTAATGGCTAAAGACGTGCAGCTCGGAACGTGCTAGAACCTTAGAACCGTTTCGTGTCGCACATCAGCTGTCTAGTGCAATGCTAGCGCAGTTTGGGACGTCAACCCAAAAATATTCATTTATATTCAAGATGAAAGGCCGCGCCAAACTGAATAGAGCGTTGAGGGGTTTCAATCGTTGAACTTACTAAAACAGTAATAAATGTAAGACATATTATAGTACAATTCAGTGGGTGCTTCAGCTATAACTAATATCATCAATTGACTTAAAATAACTATTCATATTTCCAAGCGGTCGGCATAACCGTGACACAATAGCATGCCTTTCAATCTAGCGCCAAAACAATGCAAGCGTTTGTTTAGCTGATCTGTGGCGCAGACCAAATGCGGTCGGTTCGCAACGACTCGTCCATAGTGGTCCACAAGAGTAGCCGTAAGATTTTAACGTCCTGAAATTACTTCTAGCGTTCATTGATGGAAGAACTACCTACAGCTGCGCTGTAGATAATGTACAGAAAGATTACGGAAGAAGACATGAAATTCACGCGAGAGTGTTCCATATTACTCTTGCTTCAACTACAGCACACACTTTTATCCTTCAGAATAATTAAACAAATGTTAATTTCGCTTGTTCGTTCCGAAGTAACTTCATAAAATTCAAGATCCTTAAGTTTCAAATCGGGTACTCTCATTACTCCGTCCAGTCCAACTTCAATGTTTTTTCTCGATCAGTCGCCGATCCGTTACTTGAAACGGACTACACCCCCGACTCCAGATTTTCAACTATTACTAGAATACAACGCCCTTAGCATTGATTTCCGCCACCTTGAACAAGATCTAAAATAAAAGTCAACGGTGCTCTGCTCATTTATAATCACTCATTCAGAGATGGTTTGCTGAGTGTTACGCCAGATCCTATCAAGGAACCACTTCTTTATTTGACTTTAAAGAATTGTACGACCATTAGTGTGTGTTGCCTGGAACGTTAATTTAGTTACCTTCACTAATGGCCGCACATTCAGATCCCGAACTGTGAGAAATCGTAAAATCTACGAGACCAAGACCTCAATAATTCTCGGAATACATTGAAATAGGAATTCTGATAAAGTTTTGTATTGTGTATATATATAGGTATATATAAACCGCACTGGCTTCAACAGCCCCCAATAAGTTCAAAATTAGACCCATTCACTCGAATTTGCACTTTCAGGTCAAAATTTTACGATGCCAGCTTTTAATGCTTAAGGAAAGCCTAAACTCTGGTTAATATTCTACAATTATTTCCTTTGTACTATACAAATTTGTAGCACACTCTCAAACGCACATTTTAACTTCCGCTGACACAACCTTTGTGCCACGTTAATGTTGCAGGATAGGTTAACATCTTTAGGAGCTGGCGCGATTTTAAATAAAGCATGACATCCTCGTAAACATGTGGTTCAATTATTTCTACTCCTTTTTACTTCAAAGAACAAACATCCCTACATCTTTTACATCTTGTGAACTTTGGTTGGTCTACCATGAAATTGTGAAGCGTTAACACTTCCTACTTGTTGGTAAGTCAGCACCTACCTATTTTCTTCTTTTAAGCTGAATTATCCGTCAGCACTTACTTCAATGTTCAGGATTGTTATATAAACATAATTTCTAAGGACCTACTAAATAAAAAGCTTATTCTAGGTTCAGTTAGCTGTGTCGAAGTAGTTTTGATTTCGCATCATTTACTTGATATGAACTATATTTTTTCCGAACTAATTTTCGGTATTTTTACCTGAAGAACCAGCCATAAAAACAACATCCGTTTTGCAGTTGTGAATACATAACTGCCATATTTTTATTTTAGTCACGGATACAATTTTGTTTTTATTTCTTGGAACAACGTTGCTTAACAGTCAGACATCAGAGATAAATGTCTAGTTTTTCGAAAAAAACAATGGCAAGGAATTAATTACCATATTTAAACCCAAATATACCAACATAAAAAAAAATACTTAGAACGAGAGTTGTTAGCGTCTGTATCTAATGGCTTAGCCAACGGGACGAAAAAACGGGGAATTGAAGAAGTGTCCATAAAATGTTAACGTGCAAATATCTTTTTTGTGTCCAACCCTTACCGCATAATCATATTCAAGCGAATTGCATTGCAAATAGGTGTTAACAATCTTGAATCTTTGGCATTCGTCCTAGCCAGACCAATCTTCAAAAATACCTAATTACTGAGTGGATCCATAGCGTTGCAGCTGGTTACACACTATTTTTTGAACGTTCATCTTGATAATAGTAGTATGTACAGCGAAAAAACGTCCCCTAAATCGATCTTTGCCATCGCTCTTGTATTCCTTAATTTTTAAGTAAATTTTTTGAATTCGGTTCCATCGGGAGGCTTAACCTCGACCTTTCTCTGACTTATGTCTCCCCAATTGGTAGATAAGACGGTGCCTCCACTTTCGACAAATGATTTGTTCATCGCCTTGCGAACCTCATCATCTCCGTCCTGATAAATCTTTTTAAAGAGCTCATTGACCGCCTGCGAAATCGAATAAACAAGTGTTACTTCAGGAAATTAATCATATTCTTCATTGGGCTGGCTAACAGGTCGTTTTGTGGTCTTCAATTCAACACGAGATTCTGTTATATCATCGCGTTGTCGACCAGTGAAATTCGATGTGCAACGTAATATGCCGGACTGTATTTTATCCATAAACACAACTAATAATTTACATCCATGCCTTCTCCAACAACTGAGCCGAACTAGAATAGAATGCCTCTTGAATGAGTTAGTTGCATAAAGCCGTTTAACACCAGTAGAGATTTTGTTCATTGAGAAAAGATCGCCCACTGTCAGTTAATGATCGACAAAATAAGCAGAAAATCGACCACTAAAGGACGGCAACAGTTACTGGTTCACCGATGGTCTAAACGCGTACGATTTTTCTGCGGGGTTTTTGATTAAGTTTTAGGCCATTTCATGGCAAACTGTGGACCGATGTGTGTTCATATATACGAGCTCTAACACGTACCTGTTCTCCCTCTGGTTTCTCTTCTTTCTCCATTCTTTCAATCTCCTTTTCAAGCTTGTCCCAGTCATGCGCTTTGGTGCACGACGATGGATAACGCGGCATATCTGAGATTTGATTAGGACCAACCATCTTTGGTTCAACGCCAGCGGTGGCGCCATCTTTGCGGACGAGCGAAGACCATCGCACAGCCTGTGTCTTGGCCAATCGAATTTCGATTTTTGACGATAACACTTTATACGAGGATTTCTCAGGATGAATATCGTGAGCCAACATCAAGTCGAGATTATAATCTCCTGATAAAAGTTTTACAGTAACAGATAATGTGTCTGAAGTAAAGTTCACATTAACATCGTCAGCCTTTTGATTTTTTAGAAGAATTTCGACAACCACGTGGGATTCTGTCTGGTACCAGTCATGGCGCGTCTGAAAACGTATACCGGAGTAAATGACTTCAGTTAAATTAGTTCTGTATGAATCGCCATCGGTAAACGGCCGGCTGAATATCGGTCGATCACGAATACAACAAGAACGTATAGTAGCTCCGCTGTCGGCACGGGTAAAATCTTTAAATCGAGCAGATACATTTTCCGATTTAGTAGCCAAACACGTTCGATTAGAGTCAAATATTAAACTAGCTTCAGACTGAATAAGGTAAAGTGTTTAATCTTTCATCGAATAGCTGCTCGTGATAATACCAAGTACACCTGAAAATCATATACGTAGTAGTATGTAACAGACAAGCGTACTCAAGTTCGTTCAAAAGGTTCCATAATGCGGCCACAAGTCAAAACCTTAACCTACAAGATCTCTCAGTATCAAACGTGGAAAGATGTCTGAGCATCGTTATGTCCACGGTCTGATTTTGCACTAGTATAACAACCACATTGAAAAATAATAAAACTAATAACCTAACGCAGCTCCATAACTATTTTCAAACACATCCATACAAAAAATCGATTGCGTAATCAACATTTATAGCTTTCTGATATACTGTAATACAAGAGATACCCGGTTTGAGAACAATCCGCGATTATCCCTTAAAGGAGGTTTGTGGTATTTTCGTACAGATCGTTAGCCAGTAAATATTGCTAACTACCAAATCCTGTTAGTTACGAATAACAATAATGTTATCCTAAGAAGGTGTGAGACTTGAAAGCACGTACTACTGACTACTTCGATACGTGTGACGACTTTAGTATTGTGCAAAAAGAAATTCACCTGAATCAACTTTTACCCAATGGCCCGGATCTACTGATTATCTACAGGGATTCGTAATTATACTGAAGTGGGTATACGCGAATTTGATTTCTCGATTAGTTAAACCGAGTTCCGACAGCACGAACTTTCTAGGATTTTGGCTATATGCGTTTTCACCAATTTACCTGAGCCATGGCGTTTTCTAAGAGGCTAAGATCCTGTAGGACGCACAATATTCTAGTTCAATCGCTTTCACTTTACTATAGAGACGCTCTGTCTTACGGAACGTGATCAAAGAGACAGTGCAGTTGACTGTTTGAAACTATAGAAGTGTTCAGATCGGCCCTTATTTGTTTTGCGCCGTGTGATCTGTCCACATGTTTATTCGAATGTTCGATAGAAACTTCTACAACAGTTCTTGTGCGTATTTTTTTTTTTTTTTTCAAAAAATCGGTTATACCTAGAACGTTGAGTTACCAAACTAACACACTATTAGGTCATAAGAGCCCTTATCTTATGCTTTCATTTCAATGTCAGTAAATTATATTTAGCTGAAAGCGTTTTCCTTCTCGGATCGAGCATGTCATCCAGACCTTCCAGCGTCCGTCGATTAGTAACAAAGCCTGTCAAAAAGCGATGGTTGGATGCTGGGCTGCTTCAAAATTGAACGACAAAGCAAAACGCTTTCAACATATATTTAATAATTAGACGCAGTACGGTAATAAACAGTTTATTTAGAGGGTGACTAAACATTTATGTTTAAGTCTTTTAATCTAATCAATATGATTAATGTGGACAGAAAGGGTTACTAGGTATCTTTGATTCCTAACTTTGTCCCTAAATTAGAGGTCGGTTTTAGATCGGACAGGCTTGCAAATCAATATAACCTTAACGCTATAATTCGAACGTCATCATTTACAGAAACCTACCTGCAGGTCTCCTTGAACCGAATGGACGAAATAATAATCATGGAAGTACTAATTTATTATTCGATTAACTTCCAATTTTCGTCCATTCGGTTAAAGGAAACCTGCAGGTAAGTTTCTGTAAATGATGAAGTTAATCGAATACACAAAAAATAAATTAATACTCCTATGATTATTATTATTATGGCAATATCCATTCAGTATTGCAGGATATGTATATAAAGGGTAACTGTAATTTTTTGAAACAGGAAATGAGAATTAATCTTTTGATTTTTTGATAATTATTAACTTTCTGTCAAGATACACGCATATAGTTCTGCTTCTTTCTCGGCCGGCATCCTGCCCCGTGTGCCGCTTCACTTTGAAACCTCTTTGAACGCCTATACGGATGCTGTTAAATGTGCCCGTGCGAACTGAAAGCCACGCAGCCTCGTACCCTCGATGACCATTATCAAATGCCAGTGTAAATCGAGATTGTTTTCGTCATACAGTCTACATCAACATTTTTAGATGAAGCTCTATAATAGATATGCGAACAACGTCTTTAGTAAATTGGTTACATTACACGCACATCGCGTGTTTCGTTCATTTTGAACTAGGAAGCCGTTAAGACGATGCGAAAAGGATCACAATATACGAATATGGCATGTAAGAATCCACTGTTCTTGTTGCAAAATCAAAACTCTACAGAATCAACTTTAATTTGAAAAATTGTTGAGCCGCACTCGATGAAAATTATGCCAAACAAAAATAGCTTTACTAAAAGAACCAGAAATATCTGTAGGAAGAAAAATGCTAGAGGAATGCCGCTCGTTCTAGATTCAAATTCCGGTTAGGACGAGAACGTTTTTTAAGGTCTCTTTGGGATCGGAAATTGCCACGGCGTTCATCGATAATTTGGAAGAAAAATGCAAAGCATTTGTTTTACATGACATGTGTGCGCAAGAGCACAGATTATAGCTGACGACCTTCCGAAGATATTGTTTTTACAAGATATCGGCTCCTTCGCGTCGTTTAGATAAGTGCGTCCCAAGATAATCATTTACAAGCATTTTTGCAATATTCTCTTATATATTGGTCCTGTGTACTGTTCAGTTGCGGGTAATTTTCTGTCAGGACGCCTGGAAGTTCTACAGAGAAGGAGATATGACAACTTTCTTGATTTCTCGCAAATTGTCTAGTATTATTATTATTACTAGGTATTTTAATACATCTTCTTATAGCCTGGGCGGTAAAAACGCGGCTAATGTGAAGTTACATCAACGCTAATAAGCACAGCTATTTGCTGCCGTGATGTCGGTTTTTGGCAGTTGAAACGTCAACTTTTTCGTAAAAAATCGCTTTAACGAGATTGCGATTCGCATGTAGGATCGTTTTAAGCTCAAAGGCTCCGTGCTGAGAAATACAGTCAATTCAACGAAGCACTCCTTTGGAAATAATGCATTATAGGTAATCAGGGTTCAGTACTTGATCTGCGTTTGTGCTTGCTGGTACCCGCATGGATCATAGCTTAGTTAATAAAAACACAAGAAGATGTCTTCGAAAACAATCCAAGGTATATTCGCTGTTGCTGATGTATTTGTGTGTTTATTACGGGTTTTTACAATTAATTTTCGAATTAATACGAATACTCTATGAAGATCATGCGCTAGCTAAGAGTTCAATGAATTCAAATAATCATTATTCAATGTAAAATGGCTAAGTACTAGATAATGTTAACGAAAAATGAAACACCGTATGGTATCGTAAACATATATGCTTGCTACCTATGCGTTATGAAATGAGCTTTTTCGTCCTACCTAAGCTGCTTTGGCGTTCACTTTGAATCCAAGGTACTGTCCTCTACTATTTGCTTGCCATTGGTCTTCTAAGTATTGTCACGCTTTACGGAAAATATGTATCGTTCATTCGTTATCCGGTGAACGGTATGGCCTGTACGTATCACGGAAGTGCGTGGGATGGTTAAGTCGCATTTCAGGAACTCTTTCCTTGTGTTGCACGCCCTTGTGGTCTGCTTGTTATTGTTATCTTTTTGTCTTTTGTGTTTGAAGCTTTTATCGTGTATATTCGACCCTTTTTATTTACTTACTGAATGCACTAGTAGCATACATTGGTGTGCATACTAGTGCGAGTCGATGTAGTTGCCAATACATCATATCTGGGCTGCGCTTGTATGTACTTCATACATTTTGCACAGTAACGGGGGTGATCTCGGCCGCTGTCCTATCAGGCAACACATTGGCGCTCACGATTAGTTCGTAGTGAACTAAACTAGATGAAAAAACAAAAACGGTTCCCGTTTCACTAGCAAGTTATAAGACATAGCTTTAGTCAACAAGTACGTATGCGTGTCCAAAGGTATACATTATTGACGCGTAAACAATTTTATTTTTAGTTAGTATATAACATTATGGCGTGTTCGTGTATACATTCGTAACCATTTCTGCCAATTATACCATTTGTCTAACACAGTTTTCAGTCGGTCACTATCTTGGTCAATTTTAAATGATCTTGAAGCATCTTAGAAATAATCTTCATAGACATAAGATATACTTAAGAAAAAGTCAGTTGCAGCCATATTTTTGAAACTGCCTTCCGAGGATTTCTAAAAAAACTGCATTCCATGGTAATCAAAAATTCTAAGATTTTCTGCATTTTAATTAGCTTTTGATTTTGAGAGCCAATTAGATGTTTTGTTCTTTTGAGAAACGCAGACCTTCGTATGCATTCATAAAGAACATGTACATTAATATCAGTATGAATGTTTTAGCATCAATTTTAAGCTTATGTGTATGTTCATCAAACGGAATGGATATTGGGAAGATACTTCATCGCACTTTATGGGCTTTCTTTAAAAAATTGCCTTCTCATCTTGATAAGAGCCGCTTCTAGCTATCTATCCGTTGTAGGGATAATCATGCTCAAATGCATGCAGCATTATAGGATAAGTAAATAAAGAACGTCTTTGACAAACCGCTTTTCTTGTATCGTGTGTTGAATAACGTCACGTGTGTGCACGATGATTGGTCTTTCGGTTTTGATAAGTTTTTCTGTAGCGTTATTTTTCTCTAAGAGGTCGACTACATCAATGGAAACACTATCCCTCGTGTAAAAGCCTATGTCAGATGATGTCAAACAATTCAATTTTAAGAATGCAGTCGATTGGAATGACGTCCTAATTAATCACTAAACGATCTCACAGTAAAAAGTATATTTGCTTCACAGCGTTGGTCGATGACGTAATGTTAGTGTAGGTCGGCGTCCAGTTGAAACGATGAAGAGGACGGCGGTGCGAATCTGTCGTAAAAGTCATGCTGTGGGTCTGGGTCAATGAGATGATCCATTTCGTGGTCGTCTTCCTGAAGTGACTTTGCCGCTAGTGAAGTCGACGTGACACATGTTGCCTCAAGATGCTTGTTGAGATAGCTTTTTAACGCGAACCGTCGTTGACAGCGGTCGCATTTGAAAAACTTTAGCCCCGAGTGCGTTTGCATATGTGCTCGCAGGTTCGAACGGTCTGCGAATGCCTTTCCACAGTGCGCACAGCCAAAAGGTTTCTCTCCTAAATGGAACAACGAAACAATAAACAGATAGCAGTTATACAACAATACATTGATAAAAGGTATTTCATAGATACAATAATATAAAGACTTCATGCTTGTGTATAACCTAGGGGAAAAAAGGTCATATAAGGGAACTATATGACAGCGACACAATCCTAGACTAGGTCTCAGATAAATGCATAGAGAAACAGCTATTTCGTATTCATTTTAATAGATAAGCTATCAATAGGCCGACTATTAATATACTAGTGATAGTTTTGCTTTTAACTATTACCAGCTCATTGATAGTTAAGAGTGCCTTAAATTATGCAAGTAAAGAGGGAGAAGCTTCACCAAGCTTTGCCAAATCTTACCAGGCTTATGCCAAGGTGTATTGAAAAAGCCTCTAGTTCCTTGATGTGCTTCAAAGAAAACAATCGAAAGACGTAAGACTTATGACACTGAAATGTTATATGCTTTATTATGTGTCTTTTGCATGTGACTAAATATTAGCAGTGTCAATACTTCCATTCAAAACTTATGCATTCAGAATGACAGATTACAGTTATATGCGGGATACGTTATTAGAGTCCTCTCTGCAGGACGGTCGCGCGATTTGAAGGACAGGCGCATGTTTAGGACCTACCTGTGTGTGATCGCATATGGCCTTGCAAAAGCCACTGTCGGGAAAAGGCTTTCCCGCAAACATCGCATTTGTGACTCAACTTATGAGTGAGTAGGTGCATTGACAGAGCGGGCATCGATACATACACCTAATAACATGCCAAAACAATGTAGAAAAACAGTACTTGTAGCTTAATCCAGTGCCTTAATAATACGAAATTGAATACCCTTCGAAGCGATGGAGAATTACAGTCATGAAACGGGCTAGACAAATATAATGTAGCGTAGAGTTTCCCTGGGAAACTTCACTCTAGGTTTACATATGTAGAAAAGATTCCCAATGAAAAAATTAAAACATCGATGTAATTATACGGAAATTTCTAGATAAAATATATATAAACACGTTATAAAATGTTTCTTGCCTCTACCTGAGGAATTATTGTCTGGCGATCTTGAACACTTTGGGTGCTGGTGCGGCTGTTGTTCAATTTTTGCTTCTAATAAAGTGTCTATCAATGAGCCAGTAGAATCCCCATGGGCCTCACTACTGTAGATTATCTTTCCACATGGTAATCTTTTGTGAAGCACATTCTACGTGGTTTAAATTACGCAATAGAGAAAGCATGCTTGAATAAACGTAAACGTCTCAAACTCTGTATATTATACAATTCAGTCACCGCTCAGACATTTGCTGTAGACCTTTATTTATACCATTTTTTTAAAGATCGGGTAACAGATCAAAGTACTCATTTGATACAATTACATGTAAATCTCCAGTCGGACTAACTTTATAACAGTAATATTCATCTGAAAAACGCCTTTGAAACCTCTTTTGGTGTATAAGACCGTCCATTTTTAGAGATCTACCATAAAAACGGCGCCTTTCAGCATCTTTTGAAAAGGCCTTCAGGTGAAGGCAACATCAGAGCAAATGTGTCATCCATTTTGCGTGCAATGCTGATGGGTGTTCGTTAGGTAAGGACGGAATGTGGGCAAAGACGTTTCAACAGCTCATATCCATATTCAACTTGCTCCCAGTCCTGGTGCTTACGTTTTCCAACTAGATGCACGTTAGATATACGTCTCTATCCTAGCGCCCAACGCCCCCACATCAAGCCAATGCTGACTGCTGCGTTTAAGGAACGAAGGCCAGAGCTGGACAAGTTCCTCTATTATTGCCGCTACGTTGCTGGCATTTGCGGCTCGTTGAGGTGCTAGAGATGGTTTTCAACTGCTGCTCGAACGGATGAACTGACCCATGAACCAATGAAATAGACACAGGCGACGACCACAACAATAAGCGAAAACGAGCACTATGTGAAGAGGAGATTGAGCCATGCTCCGTTCACCTTCGGTCGGAGATGAGCACCGACGTAGCAATGTTAGTCAAAAAATCTTTGGTCTGAGCACCCTCAGCGGACTAAAACCCTGTTTGTATTCGAGACCTACTCGTACGGCACTCGGCATAACAACCGTCCCGAGGTCGGTTAACACTGAGCATCAAGTAGAGAGTTCTCCTAGCTTGCACCCTTACCCACTTCGTCTTAGGTAAGTTCCCTGGGGAAACTTGATGTTGAGGTGGCGATGCTAAAACGACGGCTATTCAAAATGCACTCTTACTGTCCGAAAAAAGTCCATCTAAGCAACAGAGTAAAAGACCATGACCCCATTGTCTTCCATGTACGCTGTGTGGCTATGCTTCTACCTCTTGGAACCCATGCGGCTGACAGCATTGTGCGTAGAGTTACGTGGGAGATCCGTAATGGAGGAGATACGTTAAAGTAAAATTGAAAAATGCAAGACTTCATAAAGGAAAACAATTTTAGAGGCGGTTGAAATCAAATTTATTAGATTATTACTTCTACTGGCTCGTTCCTAGCAAATTAGTGACTTTCTGACAAGATATTAGCGAAGGACAGGGGATTTGTTGCGATATTTATGGAAGTTGCAGTTTATAAAGCATACATTCAATAATGACGAGTCGGATTCTGACCGTAGCACAATCAGTTATGAGTGTACACCATTCAGTGATGCACTCCTCGTAATGGAGGAAATTTAAGTTAAGAGGACACGCGAAATAAAAACCTAGGCTACAAGTATATTATGTGTAGTAACTAAATATGTAAATATATTATGTCTAGTAAATAAATACAGATTCATATTAGCGTGTAGGCGCAAGAACGTACTCTTTTGGAATATACTGCTTAAAACAATTCTATGAACGGCTCGTAGTACGTATCTACTTACATGGGATGCCATAACTCAGGTCAATTCAAGCATGCTCATTTCGTCGAAGTCTCTTCAAAACATGTGTACGGTATGTTTTATTAAGCGTTGCGAACTAAGTTAATCAACTTCGCAACTGTCACAGCTGTGACAAATAGGGAAACGTTTTGGTCTTCATTTTTTAACTCGGATAATTAGAGTGCTCGGTTGGAAAATATGCAGTTACATGTACAGAATTGACCATTAAAGCTGAATCGGCGTACTCGCTGCATGTTCTAAAACAGGTCAATATTGTAAACTGGTAAAGATTTTTCTTAACACAAACGACTCGACGACTAACTCGAGCACCTAATCTTTATGTCCATATACTTGTATATCAATAATAGATTAATTCCCTAATACTATTAATAATGTGACATGGTTCCATAAGAAACATATATATATATATATGCGTATGTGTGTGTGTGTGTTTATATATATACCTTTCCACAGGTGGGGCATCTCTTAGCCAGTTGCGAGTCTGGACTCCGATGTGTCTGTTTATGTCGTGAGAGGTTGGATGATGTAGCGTAGTGTCTACCACACTCTGAGCACGGGTAGCGCGAAGGACCTGAGGAATTGCTAAGCGCTTGACCCGACGGAACCACGGGGGCCACCCCCAAAATAGCCTCTGCCGAACATGACTTCAATTTCGGGGGCTGTTTGCGTGAAGGTACAATCAACAAAGCGTCGTTAATATCTACCCCCGTGGTACTACATAACGTTGCTCTTCTATCAGACATTCCAGTTCCACTGTAGTAGGTTGATTCAGCTCAGGTAGGTCACCCTGTCAACTAACGTGCCTAGAGATGTTAACGGCTAAGTTGGGGTCAATAAAATCATAAGTGTCTGTCGCATAGTCAGATATAAATAATTGTTCCTCCAATACCTCAAAGTGAATCTAACCGTTCCATGTATGTCTCAGTACCAAAATAATAACAATAACAACAACAACAACGAACCGATGCTTACCTTCTTCTTGGAGCGGCCATCCGATATAAAAAACGCGTCATAGGTATAACATACAGTGACAGATGGCTGGCGGCTATGGCGGCCTCTATCAACACCTGCAGTACCGTTCTGCCTCGTACTGAGGTCAATCGCCTCGCCCGCTGGGGTGTTAACTAATGGTAACGTCCTGTTGGGTCTGAACGGAATGTCAAAGGCTGGATTGAAAATTTTCGGAGCCACCGTCGGACACTGGAAATTAGGCATATCTATGACAGTAGGCGGGGTGTATCGATCAACTTCTCGTGGCGCAGCAACACCATGATAAGAAGGCGAAGGAGAAAATTCTAAGCGAGGCGACGTCGATGGCGTACTTGCTAATGTAATGGGGGGTGGAGTTAACGTAGGTCTTAGCTGTGGGGTTACCGGATTGCCATCGTGGGAGGGTGAGCTTGACCTTGGCATTGGGGTAAATGTTACCGCTGTCGAATTAGAGAACTCTAGCGGAAGCGCTTGGGATGTAGCGTAAGTATGTATAGTAGAAACGCCTACGCAAGATGTTGGTGGCGTTAGGCAAAGTTCGAGAGAGCGCGGAGATTGTTCCCCCAGAGACCTACGATCCGGTAGGCCGTTTTCTGTTCGATGAAAATCATTGCTGTTGTAATGGTCTGTCGTAATACAATCTGTAATATCAATCAAATACTTTATTAGTTTCTGAACTAGATCTTCGTTCTTGGTTATGTGGGAGATCGTTTTGGTCCCTGCCTCGGCTCATATTGAGAACTATAAGCATTATCTCTTTAATGATCTTTGAGCCAATCGCAGATTCCGGTCGGAACGAATCGAATAACCGTGAACGATTTACTGTAAAACCAATTAAAACGAATCTATTTCAGTTCACCCTACAATAAGTTACGTTAAATAGACCGTAACTAGTGCTTGCTCAACATTGTTCAAGTGATTTACATTAAAGTTTATCTGTTTTGACAATAACATTTAACTAGTTTGTTCGTGGGCGTCATTTGGTGTTGGGCAGCAAAAGTGCGAAGTATTTTTCTGCTCAACACCTTGGCAGCTGATCGGGCCGGTCAGTGAACGATAGACGATAGAAGATCCTAGGTAGTTAAGTGCGCAAAGCATGCAGCGTCGGAGAAGGTGTCTAGCTTTCATTTTCTTGATCCAACGCCGCATCTCAACTTGATCCAAGTCGGAAATGCACCACTCGAAGGGGCATTGCAACAGTCGGCTTAAACACTTTTTCCGTTCCGGCCAGAGCTGCCGTGTTTCAGGCTGCTCGCCTTCTTCACTTGCCTTAGCATATCATTGCTGTCATATTCGCCTCCCGTTTTCTACCTTTCCTCAAACGGCCTCCCATTAACAAGTAGGCGAAGCAGGCAGGGACGAAGGGAGAACTCGAGAGGTGAAACGATGGACAAGGGCTATGAGACTGCTTCGATGAGTAACCATCTCCTGATATTTTCGCGACGATCGAGTAATCTGCCGGCGCGTCTGCACCGTTGCATCGTGACCAGCTACAAGACCCATAGTGGGCATCTCTGAAGCGCTGACTGCGTCGGCTCCCTCTCGCCACTACCAGTTCGAGGCCGAAACAGCAACTACAGCTTCGTCGTTGTCCGCTGGCCCCTGCTTGCAGTCTGTGCCCACCCCTTCACGTCCGCCGCCGCTAAACATCGCCCGCTCGCTAGATCGTCTTCGTATAAGCGGGTGCTTCTCGACAGCAGGAGCTCCCGTTCGTTTCTCCTGCTCTCCTTTCGTTCCTTGCCGTTCCGCCAGCGCAACTGAAACTACCAGCCACTGTCGCTGCTTATTGGTGAGAAGGAAACGGGGATTTCCGTTTTGGCTGTCTGCCGCTTCTTTTACCTTGCAGTAGTAAGCGTTGAGTTGCCCCATTTCTCCTATCACTGTTTGATGGTCTTGTGGAAACGAGGGGATCCGAACGGGAAATATGGTGGGTATAAAAGCATCGGGTGGGGGTATAGGCTGCAGACAGGGTTGAGTCTGCAGGGCTGAGCATGGGCAGCTGCTACTGCTGTATTGCTACTGCTGTTGGAAATCGGCTGAAGCGGTTGAAGAAGGAATCTGCAGTGGCTTCTTACTCGTCGTCATCGTGTTCATCGTTGCCGCCGCCGCCGCTGCCGCCGTCCATGTTCATGCCGACCGCAACTGCGCAAGATCCTTCGGGCCCCTGCTACGTTTGCGTCACTCGTTGATAACGAGTAAAAACCTAAGATCACCATCGTTTCGGCTTTAGTCTCATCGTCATGATCAATGTCGGCACCATAGAATTATAGCGAGCAGAAAACGAGAAGCAGCGTCCAGCGTGTCCAGCACAGGTACTTTCGCTCGAAGGTGACGTCCAACGATAAGAAAAAATATCAACGGGGACGGCAACGGCGTTAGCAGTGCTGGTAGCAACGACGACGAAAACGACGACAAGACGAGCTGGCTGGTTGTCCTTCGTTGGCACTAGACCCAAGAGGATACGGGTCAGAAGGTGTTTCATTACGACGGCTCGCTCGGCTATCTGCTGTGCATACCAATGCGAACCTTATTAGCTCGTCTCTACGAGATAGCCCCTGCCAGTAGCTAGCTTGCTAGCAACCGAGCGAATAGCTTGGTCGTTTTTTTAGGATCTCGAGAACCGTGGCCAGAAAGCGAACGTCCTTTCGTCACTACCCCCATTTCCCTGAACCCACTTTCCTACTCTTTTTCATTCTTTGCTATCGGTCCTAAGCAAGGCTAAAAATCAGCGCGCGTAGCAGGCTCAACATGTGCCGAAAATGTTAAGTGAACGGGGGACTTATAGGGCAATTGATACCAAAGTCACAAAACCTATTCTGTGATGTTTCAAGCTGGTTCAGTATTTAGTGTGTCGTTTTACGTTAAGTACGTCGAATTGCAATACAAACTGTTATTGACATAGAGATATTGGACAACAGCCTTTTTCGGCAGAAAAACTACGTTCATTAGTTTTTGGGCGAAATTAGCAGATAAGAAGCCCATTTTAAGGACAGATGTCTCGTCAAAGGAGTATTTTGACCTTTTACATTTAAAAAATACGAACGTAGCTAAATTTTACTATTCCGAAACGTTACATATTGATGTAGGTTAGGTCCATTAGGTGGTTGGCGTGTTTTTGAAGAACCTGCTCAGGAAATGTATACTTCTTACTACAGTTACGTTTAAGTATTCATTTAAAATTATAATAATAATATAAAAATAAGATTTAAAATCTTTACTATAGCTTTCTGCCGCTGAAAATAGGCACTACATGATCTAACTGTGATGCTATTTCTACAGAGAAACGTCCAAGTTGATGGCGTTATTAGTAACATATTACCCATTTCATAGTCAAGATAGTTTCGTCTCATCGATAGCAGATGCAGCAAAAACCAATACTAATAGTGTAGCAGGCTTCACACTGTTGATCCTGATAGCGAAATCATTTATGGGCAGCCTTCATGACGCATATGAAACAGAAGCAAGCCTATATGCCAGAGAAACGTGAAATAGAGTTTTCGCTTAATTGGCCATTTTGCATATTTCTTGCGTTCTTCGTGCCATGCATGCGATACAATACAAATTGAAGAGGGGTAATTTTTTCAAATTCACCCCTTCGAATCATTACACGTGATGCGCTAAAGTGGTCTTATGTCTAAAAATATAATCACGTGTATTGCAAAGCAACAGAGCTATTCGATTGTCATTCTGCCAGATAATAGCTAACCGAGAGACTTATTCCCGTGACCGTCTATACGTAACCTGTCATAATACTAACTATTAAATTAATTCATGATCGTTCACCGAGGAACTCTATGTACGCAGTGCCTTCGCTCCTTCGATCACTTTTGGTGTTCAAAGTATTGCATAGAAAAGTATAACTATGGCCGCCTACTTGGAGTTATGTATTATATGTCAAGTATGGTAACCACTTAAAGCTTTTGTACCGATTTCTCTGGCTGTTTTTTTTTTCCTCTAAACCTCCGTTTTTTCCACAGGGTATAAGTATGGAGACATGTACGTCCACATGCATACAGGTCTCTATATGCGTGAATATGATATCAGTGTCTGGTAAAACAAGAGAACATGGACAGTTCCCATAGTGAACTGGACGTAGTACAGATTCATGTTGGGTGCTCTTTAAAGTAAGGTAGCGAGGTAAGGCACAACAGGGGTCAAACATCGAGCTTCCTCCCGCCTTTTCGCTTGCCGCCATCTCTGTCAAAGCCGCCTGAATCCCCCAAAAACTGTTCCAGTTGTGTTTCGACGAGGCTTCGATGTGCTCCGTTAGCTCGTGCACACTGGCGAGCCCGCTACGGGCCCGTGATTCTTGGCGTCGCTTGATAGCGTTTTCGATAGTGGAGAGCGGCAGGTTTCGTCGGTTCGGTGGCCGCCGGGAGCAATGAAATCCCGTTGACGGGCGTTTCGTATAGAAGGTCGGCGGCTAGGCAGAGAGAGTCAGAGACAAAAGAGAAGGGCAGAAGGGCTGACAGCTAAAGGGGGAAAGTGACCACGGGAGAAAGGCGACATCGGGACGACATCGTGCTTTACCCCGAAAGAGAGCGTCGTCGGCGCGCTGACGTTTTATGGAGGCGTCGCTTGTTGGATTAGAGTTAGGCTCGGGCTGACGCTCAGCTTGAAAAGCAGATGTCTGCCTACAGGGAGCCCTGTTCGAACGCTTGACGGTGGAACTGACGCCTGTTGCCTGGCGGAGTCACGGACGTTACGGGCCACAGAGCAGCTGGGGACAACAGCTCATACGATGGCGGGCCTGACCAGACGTGTGACGCTACGCCAAACTTCACAAATGGGTTTTCCCCTGATTGCTGCATGGCGAATATAACGATTTTATCATTGTATCTAATATGCACCTACACATAGACATGCAAAAGGTCTAGATTTCACAGTTACACACCACAGCAAATCTATAATCTGCATTTCACCACTGGGCGCACCCTCCAAAATAAATCTCTGTCCTATAAATACATGCATAGCGTGTCATTATTGTGATGTAGATGTCTGTTTGTATGTAGTCAT